CTAACCTTTCATAAGATTATATGCAAAATGAATTTCAAGTCTTTTCTATAAAATTATTTTACAAAACCCTTAAAAATACTCAGAATAAAACAAGGGTACAAAGCAGGTAGGGCCTCTATACCCTATACATGCTCACTTCCACAGGCAAAAACATCTCCAGGAGAGGCTCCTGCAGGTAAGGGATGCAGAATCAGCACTTCAATTTCCTCCTCTCCATGCAGAGGCAAAAAAACCATCCCTGCAAGTGTCCTAAGGCCAGGTTAGATGGGGTCCTGAGCAACCTGGTCTAGTGGAAGGGGTGTAGAAATGAGATGATCTTAAAGATCCCCTTCCATCCCACCCCATTCCATGATGCTATTGATGACTCTGAAACATGTAACAAAAAATTACAACTGCAAATGTACATGTGCTCCAAGGACTCCTCACACAATTCAATCTGTTCCACCAAGCAATTTTTATACTTGGAGGAACATAAGTGGGTTTATATTCCTGTGCCAGACTGACTGGTCTTCTCCTTTTCCTTGGAAGTAAAAAAAAAACCTTCTCTCAATCCTGTCAGCACAGAGATAAGGATCAAACTTCAGAGAACTGCAAGTAACCCAACCTTTTAATTTTTCCTAATGGCTCACATGTGTCCCGTCAGTAGCAGACTAACATTTTCCTTATTTGTTCTTTTCCTGCACAGAAGAAAAGAGCTTTCAGTCTGTGTGAAAGACGATGCCTTGGGCACTCCCCACGGGCCTCTTATTGTTCACTGTAACTTATTTCTCCTGCTGGCAACTGGAGACTCATTCAGCAGATTTCTCTGGTGACAGGTATAATAAGAGACAAGCAGATAACTTCTATTGCATCTCTGGACACCTGCTCTGAAAGGGGTTTCTGTTCTTGCACGCTGTTATTTGAACACATATTTGACCTTTCCAAAGAAAGCTCCAGTTTTCCACAGAAAAGACTTGGTCTGACTGTCAAACTGAAGGGTGGTAAAAAAACCACTTATTCTCCTCAAATCTCTTCCAGTACTCCCTTCATGAATTGAAAAACCAACAGCCTCAAGGACTTATTTCCAGTCCTGCAAAATACAAGGCTTAAAGCAAATAGGCCTTACTGTTGTAATACAAGTAAAACTGACACTCTGCCTATCTACCAGAACTGTAAAAATACAAGAGTCCTGTGAAGGAGTCCTGTTGTTTTTCCCACGAGTTTTTTTCCATGTGACCAAAAGGTCTACTTTCCCCCACAAAAGCCTTGACAGGAACCTGGAAAAGCAAAGCAGCAGATTTTTTTTTTTTTTTTTTTAATTCTGAATGCTGAGGCACTGAAAACTAAGGGAAGGCTCTACATACACAGCAAATTCCTGAGCCTGGTGAGACTCAGGAGTTGAGATCATTGCTTCCTCCAAAGTCAGCCTGAAGAGTAGAACCATACTAGCAGTCTTCTAGAATTCACTTAATGGCTTTCAAACCAGTCAGTAACTCAACCCAAATGGCATAAAAATTAAGTCCTGAAGAAATGTGAAGAGGAAAACATGCACATCAGATTTTGGGACAGTTCTTGAGCGAGGGGAAGAAGAACAGATAAAGAAAACTCCATTGGAGAGGCAGGAGAAGCCACACGAGTGAACAAAGATGCTGGATGAAACTAAAAAAACAAAGAGGTCACGAGCCACATACTTCAGCAAAAACCAGCATCCCCTGGAACAACTTCCCAAGGGCCAGGATAGTCTTTGTAACTAATAATTTTTTATATCAAGTTTGGAAGCTTTTCTTGGAGGAAAATTACAGTTTGCACCCAGATTTATGAGACATGGGTTTATCCCTGGGATAATTCCTACACCCTCTAATTTTGGCTTGTGACTTGAGAAGCCAAGGGGTGGCTCTGCAAAGGGATCAGGGAATGAAAAAGGGGAAGGGAAGGAAAAGAAAACAAGAGAAAGCACAGAAAAAGATACAGGGGGAAACAAAGAAACCATACTGATAATGAAGAAGGATGAGTAAAAGCAGACTAAAAAGATAAAGTCAAAGTATGTATACAGTAAGTGGATTTCTTTTAGTAAAAAATGCGTGGGAGAAAATAAACGGATTAAGAGAAAACAATTCTGTGCAGGAAACAATTCTGGGGCTGGAGCAGGACAAGCAGAGGCCATGAGGGAAAAGATGACAACTTTATTTGCTTTTTCTCTCAGATCACTGAGTATTTCAAGGGTGACTTTTCAAGCACAAAATTTCCTGTAGCAGAGGCAGGGAGCATGGGTCCAGCTGGCCATGCAGACACACTGACCAGTGCTGAGCTCAGCAGTCAGTACACAACACCACATGACAATAAGCCAGAAAAATGCTACACATTCACCCAGACTCCTCCAGGTGACAAATCCTTAGTGATTCCCCGTTCCAAGCAAAATGTGGGAGCAGCTGCTCTTTTAAACTCACTTTACTCCTTTCCATGCTGTCCTGATCAATACAGCTGTTGTTCATTTACTTGTTCTGAACTCCATGACAAGGGAGAGCAGCGAAACTTTACCTGGACACCAGCTCTGGGGGGGATCAGATGTGTGCAGGCTTTGTGATCTATGCAGAAAGAAAGGGGACACCAGGAACAGGGACACAAAAGCAAGGGACTGCCCAGCCAGGCTCTTTCTACTGCCTTCTTTAAGCAACAGCTACAGAATCAAGTAACAGCAACCAAATTTAAAGGGTTTGCCACATAATGGTGTAAGTTCAGGTCTTTATAGTCAAGTGTAGCTTGGGTGGAAAACTGTATAGGACAGATCAAAACATCCTGACTGATTCATTAGGCACAGAGGTTTTAAAGCAGGCTGGTTTGTCTCATTTACAGCTCTATCAATGAAACCAATCAGCCTCTCTGAACACAGCAAGAAAGTTTATTTAGGGCAGCACAGAGGCTTCTCTCACCTCTTCAAGGCATGGGATGGCAACTACCAAGGGGTGCTGGACAGAGGGATCAATTCCCTCACCAGATCCAGGTTTACTCCTATCACATCCAGCAAAACACACAGACAGAAACTTCCAAGTGGATAAACACTGTATAAAAGCTTACAGCAGCTGGGCCCTAACTTAGGCAGAAAAGGGCAGAAAACACACACAGCATCATATGTACACAAAAAGCCATAGACAAAAACTAACTTAGGGAAAATAAGTCTGCTAAAAGTCTTAGGGAAGTAAAAACAGGCAGCTTTACTGCATCCCCTTTTGCTTCCACCTATATGGTTCATCCACACAACTTCTACCTGAGACAGAGAAACAAAACACAAAAAAAAAAAAAAAAAACAACCCAAACCCAAAAGCCAAAACCCCCTGCAATAAACAGATATTAAAAAACATGTTTCCCCTCCCATCAATCCTACAGAGTTTCTTTACAACTCATGCAATACTACCCTGAATCAGGTCAGTGATCCTCACACTGCACGGTATCAGAAGAAACAGAAAAAGCCCTGCTCACGTACAGACAGACTTGAACGACTCCAGAATGACTCAAGGAGAAGGGAATAATTATTCCTAAGCACTAAAGACAGCTGGCAATTTACTCACACCACATGCAGAAAGGCTTTTGAGCATTCAGCAGCACAGTCAAAGAGATTTATTCCTTCTTACGTGTGCCTCTCTCCCTGTGCTTCCAGTCTCTTTGCTCCTGGGAGCTCCATTAGTTGTGTTAAAGTGTATTCCTTTTTAATCTACCTACTGCTTTCCAGATTCATTTCACAGCATGGTTTTTAAAATTTTAAAATCAAAGAGGAAAAAAAAAAGAAATCACAACATTTGACCATAGGAAACAAACACTGCCCAAATAAGCAAGCTGAGTTTGTTTTTTTTTCTCCCTTGCTCTGTATAAATTTTTTAAACACAAAGAAAGGCAATGGAAAAAAAGATAAATGAACAGTCAACTACCAAATAAACCAGATTTCTCCATGTCATTTAAATTTGACATATCTGGGTCCTGCAGTAAGACTGACTGCCTTCAAGCTCCACCAAAAAGACTCAGTTGCATCCGCATGTCAGTAGTCTGTTTTCACACCTCCCTGTCAGCCTGAGTTCAGGTTCAGGCTTTCCCTGATTCTTATTTTCCAGGTGCCACAAGAGGCTAAAATGGAACAGTAGAGCTGCTTCCTACACAAAGAAATTAAAAAGAAGTGAGATGCCTCTTCACATCCATCACATTCATTTCCATACAGAAAGCAAAAGACGTCTACTTATTATCCTCAGAGGAAACAGAAATACATGAGTAAAGACAACTTTTCCTAGGTAGATGAGAAATTTAAAAAGTAATTGCTGTTTCTGAATTATGGAACCCATAAAACAGTATTGGTAGTTAAAGGTTAAAATATTTACTGGCACATGGAAAATAGAATTCCATGCTGACAGAGCATCCCAAGTATAGCACATTCAGTGGTAAATGCATTAGGAACTCATACACACTCCAGAGGTGACATGTAGGGGAATTGTGGTGCAGGACAAGGAGTAACCAGTACAAACTGAAAGAGGAAAAACTTAGGTTAGATATTAGACAGAAGTTCATTACTGTAAGGGTGGTCAGACACTGGAACAGGCTGCCCAGGAAGGTTGTGGATGCCCTGGGAGCGTTCAAAGCCATGTTGGATGAGGCTTGGAGCAACCTGGTCTAGTGCAGTTGTCCCTGCCCATGGCAAGATTATCTTCAAGGTCCCTTCCAACCCCTTGACATTCTGTGATTTTGTGATTACAGCTTTCCTGTAACGAGTTCCGAACTTCACCTTGCCCCCCAGCACAATCATCACCTCGAAATACCAAATCCCAAACCACTTCTAGCAAACTGAGAAACGAGGTTGCCCCGTTCTTCCCACCCAGCACCAAGGACCTGCTGTGGCAGAGCTCCACAGGAAGCAGCCCTGGCTCACCCACTGCAGGGAGAGCTGCTCCAGGACAGGGGAACCGCACGCTGTCCGCACCAGGAATTCAGGCACAGCCAGAGGAGCAGCTTCCCTGACTTCCCCAGCTCTCACAGCTCACCAGAGTTCACCTCAGGTTCAGTGCCCCAAAGGGATGGCCAGCTCCACGTTCATGCCCTCTCCTTAATCCAGGGATCCTTCGGCAGAGAAGCGCCCCGCGGTATCCCCGGCACAAAGCACGGCTGGCCAGACGCCCTGCTGCCTCCAGATGTGTCCAGCTGCACGTCAGAAGATCAGGGAGGCACTGCTGGAATGGCCTGTGCTGCTCAGAGCAGGCTCAGAGAGGAAGAGCCAGCACGTTCTGACCATCCCGTGCAAACCACCCCTCACGTCCTTCACGGGTCCAGCCGCAATCTCATGTTGCTTAAAATATAAATACCCCTTGGAAAAGGCACACAGCCAGGGTAAAGTGCACAGGTAAAGCAAACACACAGCTGCCCTCTGGACCTCTGGTGGGTTTTTTTTACGATCACAAGAGAGGGTTTTGATTCCTAACCAGTGCATTTTGCCAAGAGCCAGAATTGGCTTTTCAACCCCATGTCCTGCCCCACTGCCCAGCCCTGATCACAGCGCTGCAGGCACTGCTGTCGCCTCCTTCTGAAGCTAAATCCTGCAAACTTCACCAGCCCCGCTGCCAGTGGTTTGTCACACCACAAAGCAGCATTTCATTACAACCCTCAAACGTAATTTGAAATATTTAGAAAGCACAAACTACAGTATTACTTATCCATTACAATTCTATGATACACTGCTGTGAGACTCTGCTTTTCAATGTACATACTGGCAAACAGAATATATTCTGACCCATATTCGAAGTTGTGGCTGAATTTTAGACCAAGAAAAATAGGTAAAAATAAGCAGAATGCCTTCTGAAATCAGGCACATTAACGACTACTGCAACAAGCATTTGATGCACTTCAAAGGAAAGAATGTTTACTTTCAGCAGTGTAATAACCTGGATGAAGCATCATTCTAAATGCTTGTCATTAGAGATGGGCACAAGTTACTGATCTGCAGGGAAGGTTTCTAGTTATTAATTTCTAGGTATAAGGTTCTGCTTATCACTTGATTCTTAAAATCGGCCAACTCTGCTCCTTTCTCTTGGACTTAGAAAAAAAACTAAGAGAAAAGGAATATATATGTAAACTCCCCCCATGCAACTTTTCCCCTTCCATTCTATGCCTTGCCTCCCAGAAGGGTATTCAAAACCAGGAAATACTTACTCAAAATACTAAACAACTGAATCTATACAAACCTCTGTAAAAGGAGCCATAACAAAAACAGAGTCTTAGTGACCAAGTAACCTGCACCACCTTAATATCTGAGAGATATTCAGACAACAAGAACAGCACCATTCAGAGACTCCTTGAACCTTACCCCAGTTTGCACTGTTGATGTGGCTGCTTTCCAGAGACTGGATTTTCTCCTAGTATCTACACTCATCCCTCTTTCCACAGCTCAGGATGGTTGTCATATTTTTTGTTCTAAGGCAATTTGCAACAACACCCCCTTTTGTAAGTCCAAATCACTCTTCAGGAATGATGACAGAATTAAAAATAATGAAGCAACTTCGTTCAGGACACATGGGAATCTTGAAATCAAAAGGATTTAAACATTTATCAGAGTGTTATCCTCTGGATAACAGAGGATTAGAAAGCACAGAGGTGCAAGTAATTTTTGCTAGGGAATGACTTCTGTCTTCATAGGACAAATATTTTTCCAAAGCTGCTAATCACTGGAGTTGTTTTATTTTGTTTCTTTAGACCATCAGAGCCACCACAAAGCTACCACACAGTGTTTAGTTTGGAAGTACTGTGTTAAAAGACAATGGCAAAGTAGTGGTAGGAAAAAAAAAATCTCACCATACCGATCACTACCTTACTCCTTCTGCCTTGATCAGAGGAGCTGTATTTCACTGAAATGGGGATAATGCTGGGGGCCAGAAACAGGGAAGACAGCAAACAAGCAGACACTACATTGCTCAGCTGCCTATAAACTGTTCCATGCATAATAAAAATCTTGATCACAACAATAATGAAAATATTAAGGCTTACAGCACTTGCAGGTCCGTACGTATCTGTTTTTCAAGGCAAGTTATTCCTACTCCGATGCACCTGCATTTTTACAATGTTCCTTTATTACAGATTAAAATGACTCTGAAATTAAAGTCCCTGAGTAAAGTCATATAGCCATGAAATCATATGTTCAAAAGAGTCAGATAATCTCAAACTGAATTCATGCACTGACCTGTGGGTGCATTTGCATATTGGCACTTAAAGCTTTTGGCTTTGAACACACTGACACTGAGCACAGAGATGAAAAGGTGACTGAGGTTTGGGGAAAAGGCTTCCAGGTAAACAGGCAGAGAAAAGCTGCTCCTTGAACTTCTAACCAACACTTATGGAAAAGAGCTGGTTTCTAAACATAGCGCCAAGAGATGTTTTTAGATGTTTCCAAGACACATCCACAACATCCACACAGGACTGGCAGATGCCACATTAGACCATTGGGAAACCAGTGCCCTTTGAGAGTGGTGGCTCCAGGCCAGGAGAAACACCCTAAATTACCTAAAGAGACATTAGATGTTCAGCTAGACAAGCTGCCCCACAAGTCTCTACAACATTTAATTAAAGCAGAGGTAACAATTTAGAACCAGCCTGATCCCTCCATCCTGTCCCCTTCCAGACAGTTCATTTGGTGGACATGTGATTTCAGTGTGCAGAAAAAATGCTGCTGTCTCAGTGTAAATATTTTTAGTATTTTACATGGTACCAGTCTGTCTGAAGAAATTTTTGAGAATAGTGACTATGAGAGAAAGAGCACATCATAAAAAAACTGAGCTGTACAGGAGGAAAATAGAAGGTAGCAACAGGAAACGTCTGGGCTTTCACAACATATAAAGGGATTTATAATACTGCTCCCCTCTATTACTTTGTGAGAGATCATGGCAGTTTTTCCCACTCTTAAAAAAAAAAATTAAAAAAATCATTCAAGCTTAAATATGAAAAAGCATGCATTATCAACTCAAAAACCTCCCAAGTTTTAGATATCAGACATTATAGATATTAGCTACCTGATACGCAGTTTTTGAGAAGTGTTTCCTAACTTCATAGAGCCATCCTGTTCTCCAAAGCCACAATGACTGCTAATAGGAACCACCATAATGTGGTGAACAAAGGTGACATCTTTTAGACTCCAAATACTCTGCCTTAATCTGCTTGAGTGCTTTCTAAGTTTACTCTGCTGCGTGGCAAGAACTTTAAATTTCAAGTTCATACTAGCAATGAAACAGGTCAAAACAAAATACATCCATGTTTGATCTACAGAAAAAACACTATGTCAAGAGGAAAGGGTTTTGTTACCCTTTGGGCTTTATTACTTTCCCCAACACATTTCTGTTAGTCAAAAGTACATTTAATACAAAACAAATTAGTGTTACGAAGTCTGAAATGAAACCGTGTCAGGAAAGCCAATCATTGCCAGTGGGAAAGACCTAGTAAAAATTAGTTTGAACACTCCAATTCTTCCAACTTCTCTTGTGAGCAATGCCCAGCAACCAAAACATGCCCATACAAAATGAATCAGCCCTGACTGAAATTTGATTTTTGACCCGATTACATTCTTCCTCCCAAAATAACCTCTCATTAAAGAACTAAAAAGGCTGCAGTGAAGAACTGGCCAACACAACCAGAATCTTTAGTGAGTTAGCACAGCCCCCTCCACATGCAGAAACTCTCACTTCCATCACAAGAACTGCAAAGCTGTCTGTGGTAAGTTAACAGCTGAACAAGTTTTAAGATAGGATTTCTACATAAATTAGGACTGCGTCCAGACCTGAGGCAGAAAACTAGGACTCCTCAAAAGGAAGTGATAACACATCCTAAAATATGGCCAGCAGCTCTTAAATGGCTGTAAAAGCCCTCCAGAGAGCAGTCTGAGCCTCTTGGCCTCTGAAAAAACAGCACAAAGTGCCTTGGTGGGACACAGGAGGGAAGAAGCAGCAGGAACAACTCCGCAAGTTCCTAGTGGAGAAAAAGGATTTGACAAGCAGCACATTCAAGATGCGACAGATCCCAAGGAGCAGAAAAGCAAGGCCAGAAGAGAAGTGCCACAGGAATTTAGAACAGGCAACAGGAGTCCCAGAAAGCAACAGGTTGAACAGATGATGCTGCACAGGCCCCACAGCATCTCCCTGACACATTCCTCTCCTCCAAGCCAGACCAGCCTCTAGACCTGCTGGCTTGCTTCACAGCTTAAAAAACAGCAGTAGGTGCCCAAATGTGGACCTGTTACATGCAGGTCTGCTGGTTGCCTACAGATGGACTTGGCAGAGAGCAGCAGCCCCCACCCCATGGCAACATAAATATTAAACCCAAGAAAAACCAGGAATAAAGTTCATTTTCACTCCCTTCACGCTGCTCCTCTTTCCCCCACACACAGCCTGTACCAAAAAATAGAGGTACAGGAAAGAAAACCTGATCTGAGTATATTGGAAGCACAAAAATGCAACCCACAAAGATGAAGCATTGCTAGTACAATTACTGCATCTATCATGCTGTGCAGTGCTCAACTTACCTGCTTGTTATTGTAATTTGGCAACTGATTCTAAATGCCAAAAAAAGGGCCCTGACAAAACCCACAATAAGTGGGATGAAACAAGGAAGAGAAGGAGGAGGAGGTGAACAAGAGAAAATTATACCAAGATAAGTTGGAGATGCACAATTTCACCTGTCTGAGAAGATCCACCCTCTTCTAGAGAAGACATGCAAGTTAAAATTTCAAGAAAAAAAGCTCAATGCAGGAAAAAAAATCCCCACTTTGTAATCAGGTTGTATCCTCCTGATGCTGCTGTAACTTGTTAAACACTATTGCTGTCAGCCAGGCACCCCTGCAGAGAGGACCTGTATCAGTGCAGTGGGGATTTTAATTTGTGTAACAATTATTTACAGCTAATGAGGACTCACTGGCTATCCCGAGCAAATATGGACTGTGGAGTACAGGTAACTGGCTTTCTGCTGCTCATTCCCTCTCTCACACGTGTAATTCCACCAGATTTGTGAACTCCAAACACTGTATTATCTGCAAAAGACAGTCTTCCACGATGGAATGTCCAATTACCTCACAGTAACGTCCAAAATGCTTCCAGTGGACAGAACCCCACCTTAATGTTGTCCTGGAATCAAGGCAGAAACACAGCAGGGCTCCCCTCCCAGAAGCCCATCTGGTATTTTTAA